TCGGGCACACCATGAACCAACACCACTTTCTTCATTACATTTTGACGAGACGCGGTTGGGTCGGATTTTCGCTTTTGTCTTTCCTTCCATGGCATGTCTGGAAAAATGCGGGCACTGAGAGAAGAGTTCGGTAGACTGTGGCTTGCTAAGAGAACATCCTCCAAGTGCTTTGTGTTGCCAAATGTTACTCGCAGTAACCGAGGTTCCCCTACGTGAGGAGACGATGGGTTTCGTGACAGACGTGTAAGACTAGTTGGGAGAACGTTTAGTCCTAGTGCGCAGCTTATCTCAGTCCAGCGATTTTGCTCTTCGGCTTGTCGACCTTTTAACGACTCGCTGGTGGGTTCTGGTACGTTGGAACATATGATTGTCATCGCTTGTCGGTTGCGTAGTAATTTAGTTTGTTGCAGTTCTTTTTGGGTGGAGGTTTGTCGTGTGGGAGTGTTGGCCTTGTCTTGTGGGGAAGACAAGTCAAGGCTGCACCTACGTACATCGTCGTTGAGAACACGCTGGTGCCATCCGACGCCAGAAATGCTTCGCAGACAACGATAATCAAAAACTTGAAGACATCGCAGGTTCTCAGATCGGAGGTTCAAAGTTTCGCCCCCTAGTGTAGGATGGCCCTCACTGTGTCTTTGTAAACGTGGTCCTTCAAACTGAGGAAAACCCCTTTCTGACACCACAAATGTCACAGATTCAAGCAGACCAGTCTAGCTTTGCAGTACATGTAGTGACTTGAATGGCTATGCGCCCATCGTGGCTGATGCAGCTGCCAAGGCAAGGGAATTGATCAACTATTTCGAGTTCCTCGCTGTCAAGAGTCAAGGGTCCATCAAGTGACTGGTGGTCCTGGAACGATACTTTGCACTTTGAATGTGCGAAATGCATTCCAAATGATGGGATCACTCTAGAGACGTTATTCAGGGTTGATTGCGCTGCCCCAACGCCGTTAAACAGCAAGACAATATCATCCGCATAAACAAAATCAACTAGCGTTTCACCAGGCCGTCTATGCGACGGTCCTTCTTGTTGATTGTCACTATAATCAATTCACTTCAGTTAGCTGGGATGATCTCTTCCTTCCAGACCTGTTCGAACGGGGAGGTCAATGCTTTGCAGAGGACATCATCATCATCTTTAACTATTGTGGGTACACTGAACAGATTAGCACTAACTGTCAATTGTTTTGCTTCATCGAAATGCAAAGCGCCTCTCCAAGATTGGCAGGGACTCACTCATGCGCTGACCCATAACGGTGATCAGTTAGACGTCGTTCAGGCATTCAAGTACTTGGACGGCTATATTAGGGTCCGGGGGATTGAAGCTGAGGTCATGAACCGTAGAACAAAATCTCTAGGTGTATTTGCCAACACCAACTGTGGCGCCTATGCGACATCACTCTCATCCTGAAGGGCAAAACTTTATGATGCTGCTGTTCGTTCAAACTCCCCATACAGTTGTGAGACCTGGCCCATCAGGTGGACAGACATTAAGGGGCTAGCTACCTTCGACCATCACTGCCTTCGCAGCTTAGCTCATGTCTGGTAGGAGCACCACGTTAGCAATGAATGTGTTCGGCATCGCGTATTTGGAGCAGTAAGTGCGAGTGAACCGCTCAGCACCATTATGTCACGCATCAGCCTCCGGTGGCTGGGTCACGTGTTGCGCTGCCAACCCACCAACTCTCGCGACGTGCGTTGTTTTTCTCCTCCGGGGTCTGGATGGAAGATAAGGAGGGGAGGCCAAGGGATGACTTGCACGAGAGGAATGAAAAGCCTCACTTCGAAGTTGGCGTCGGTTGGTGTCAGCCGACTATCGGGCTGGGGACCGAAGGACGATGATCACGTTTGGTTGGACACACTGGTTGACATGGTGAAGAGCCGGTCCCAATGGCGCTTGTGTTGTGAGTTTCTTTGTCCATCCCCCTTTCCTTCAAATTCGCCCTCCAATTACATTTCATAGCAAAGGAATGATGTGAGATTTAACATTATATAACTACATTTTTGCATTTTTTGACGTGTAATTTTTAGTTTCTTATCTTCTTTGTATTGTGGCGCATTAGCTGAGATGTGTTCCTCACCCTCAGCTAATGTGTATTGATGATGATAATGATGCAGGTGTTAGGGAATCCGAGCCATCAGCACGAAGACGATTACGCGCTGCGATTTCGTTTCAGCCCTTAGCCTCCGATGAGCCCTTAAAATAACCGGCCATGTCTAAGCCTGCACCACCTGAGTACTAAGAGTTCCAAAAGCAGATTCAACTGAATGATAGCTCAACTCTAGCCGGCGTCAGCAGCGACCTACAAGTTCAGTTCTAAATTCTAAATATGACCATTGAGACGGAATTCAAGCGTAGATGTACGTTATCGACGCATATGGTGTGCTTAGCTCCGCATCATTCAACAAACGAATCCACCTGCTACCATGCAGCAAAACACTTGCTTATGCAGTTAGCTTTGTGTGCGGCTGTTTAGAGTACACAAACTTGCACGAAAGCCTTTCTGATTTCTATCGATTCAATCTTGGAAGGTAAGGTAAACTCGACCATTCTTTCAGCACTGGTACATCACTCAACAGTTGATTTCCTGTCAGCAGAGGGGGGTTTTGATTGATGACACATAGTTACTGGTGTATACACAAACCCCATCAGGTTCATTGGAGACAGATAGAACGCGGCTAGGTGTAGCGCAGATGCACTTGTTTTGATGCCCCATTCTGTAGGTCCTGTAGCATCGTGTTCCCATACATCTCATTTTTACTACCGATGGTCGGTCGTAAAGGTAGGCACAATGCCTGAGACATGTCACGCTTCTCATGTAAGCAGACACCTGACTAAAACAAAGAGGAAGCACAACGGAGACACACTGGAAGAACAAGGATCTGAAAATCAGATACTTACAATGACAGCCTGGCTGTCGCTTCCCCACTGGAACTCTACCACCGTAGACGGATGTGGATAGGGAGCATATTTACGGGGCGGAGTCAGCCTTAAGATCATTCCGTCGTCGGTCTCTTTCACTTCCCAGTTTTCTCTACCAGAAGAAGTGAAAAGCGCAGACTAAATGCTCCACTCATTTGACCATAACACCATAAATCTATTGGCGCTCCATGCAATGCAAAGTTTCTTGACATTTTCCCAAATTACACACTGACATTGTATTACTACACGACAGTAGTCTATTCCCTCAATGAACCGTAATGGTCAACGTACTGATAAAATCACACTTAAATGTACATAGTAAACAGCTGATCTGGAAGCCGGTAGGATGTTTGTGCCGCGTAGGCCTTTAACAGTTAAGAGAAAGTCTGGCTACCTATCAGAGCTGTTATTCAGGACAAATTAGCTCTATAGACTAGACATAAACTGAGATCGCTGTGCCACAGTTGTTCGTTTGCATCGAGCCACTCTTCGCCTCCATCTTATACGTTGATTCGATCTCATTGGTTCACGCTTTTTTTCGTTTACGATTACTAAGACTAATCCACTCCTCTTTTGCTTGGAGCCACTTTCTCTCCTTCATCCCACCAGACCGAATAATTTCAGAACTGCTCATCTGGCCCATATAATCGACGATAGCTGGTCGACCCATCAACGAAATGGTGGGCGGCGCTTGGTCGAATTTCGCTCTGCTGGCCCGACTGTGTTGAGTGGATCTGCAGCACGAATGCACTGAGGATGGGATAAGGTGGAGTGGATGCTTAACGGTTGCCTTCAGACTGACCTCTCCAGTGGCCCACACACTACCGCTGTGCACCGCACTGGGAGGAAATCACTGTCATATTCGAGGTTCATCCATAAAATATGAGCACTCGGTATTATATCGAGATCGCCTGGCAGTAACTCCAAGCCAAACGTTCTCCCATCACGTTCGGAGACGCACTAGGAGGTCGTTTCGTCTTATCAAGATTCATCAGTATTGCACATCCCATGGCTCTAACAGGAACCGAAATGATAACCTTCTCGATACCAGAGCTTGATGCCATTTTCTTATAGGCGATGGTTACAGGACGCCATGAACTAAAAGCTACCAGATATATGGCGTGCTTCATCCTAACCTGTATGCCATACATGGCTACTATACGCGAAGCCGTGGCGCTAGGGACCAATCACGCCCTGGGCACACTTTACACGATAGTGACGGAAGAACTGCCTTAGTTAAGATTTAGTTTATAATTCATGACCGCTTGTAAGTATCGCCCGTGAGCAAACTGTATAACTCACTGACATAGAATAGACAATTGGCTTGTTGCCTAGTGGACTCGGAAGATGTGCATTACTGACGAGTTTTATTAAGATGAAGCGACTTCCTAGTGCCTCTCCAAACTTTACTAAGTATCGTCTTCGATAACTTGCATCTAACTACCCCTGCCTGCTCTATCCAAACAAGGACTAAACCGGCCGTGGACGGCAGCACTAGAACAGAACAATATCGAAAGCGGACAATCCATTTGGCTTCGGCATCTCCGTGCGCTAACCTGATCTGCACTATCCCTGAGGACAAGGATACTTACACGAGAGATGATGTCTGACGTCCATTGTATCCTGCGTCAAGACAATTCGCTGTTAATCTTCCTATTGCCAGTCGATGGAGCATGGACGTTAAGTGTTAACCATGCTTAACTGTTTGAGAGAATAGAGCAGTGGGTTTTCCTATATGACTGCGATTGTCCTTGCTTTAGCAATTTCTAATTGGCTGTCAACTACTCAGTGTACAATGTGCCAAGATTATTTCACGTGACCCTCGCCAAGACATAGAGGAGAATTCTAACGCTGTAGTTTATGGAGGTTAGGATATCGGCCATATGAACACTCAATAAAGCAGACATCGCGGTCGTTTCTGATTATATATATATATATATATATATATATATATGCCATCCGTTCATCGGTCTATTCCCACAGAGTTCGTTCTATGGATCTGACATTTCAAACATCTAGTTCGTGTGCATCAATGACTGCTTTGTTTGTAGACTTCCGCTTTTAACTTTCATTTGCAGGTTCCTTCTGAGCATCGGTCAAGATGGGACCATGTTCGTTTGTGACCTCATGACCGAAGATATGCAGAACAAAGAGATTCAAGAATACAGAGCCCGTATCCCCTCTGCTTATGTATGTTTCTCATGATCCACAGGACTTTTGTCCCACTTTGGCTACCCGGCCATTTAGACACATTAGCTGAAACAGCGATCCATAAACTCTTCCCATTAGAACAGAAATGTTAGCAATATGTTGTTGTCCTAGGGCAATTACGAGCGGTTCATAACTTTTCGTGTTTAATGTGTTCGAACTACATGAACTACGATTATGTTACTGCTGCTCACTACTTTCAGGATGCCCAACGACTAACCGATGACATTGTGGACCCCAAAGCAAAGAGCATAGAGCAGTCGAAGCAGAAAGAGGAGCATGACAGGCTTATGAATCTGGTGGAACAGAAAAAAGCTGAAAAACGAAAAAAGATTTCTGAGCTACGTCTCCGCTTCCGACGAGTGAAAGAAATGAATGAAAAGCTACCGGAGCGACTTCGTCTGAAAAAGGAGGTAAGAGATCTGCACGATGTTAAACACGATGTGGTCTATGGTGCAGGAGACCCTTATGGATGCAGACTAGTTTACCTGGAAGTTGTTCACCACTGATGGAACAGTTCACCGGCGTAACTGCATTTTTTACTCAAGGATTGTTACGGAGGCATTAGGCTGCTGTTTTGATACGTTGTGTTAACAGGTAGCGATCCGAGAATCTGAAAACTGAAAGGTTTATAAAGAAGTGTCTTCTATAAAGTTTGCAGTGTGTAAGTGTATTTAACCAGTTTGCGGGTTTACAAAACCCCTCAAATATCCTAATAATAGAGCTTACTATTTGGCCTTAGCCGTAATGTCCAGATGTTGAATGTAAGAAAGCATATATATTTGTTATGTTATGTACAACCATATTTGCACATATGTCTCATGTTAGCAGCAGTTCATTCATCGGAAATCCACTCTCCCATTTACATTTATTCCACATGCCAACTTCTTTGTTTCAGGTAGATACAAATTGAACGACATAGCTGACAACAATTTCATCAACTTCAGAGTAGGAGGGTTTTTAATGAAAATTTACCGCTGTCTCCCAGGTGCTCACAAGCCAGCCTGGAAAAGTACCAGACGATTCTTTCCGTATTGAAGTTTGACTATCTGCCCCGTAAGCATATGGTGTGAAGCAGTAAATTTACATTAAAATTCGTCCTACCCATAAGTAGGCAAAACTCGCGCTCCCGGATTCAAATGTTATACGGCCATAGCTACTGTGTCGCGGGTCGCAATTCTGGGAGGCCATGCACTGTCGCCTGCAGTAGTGAAAACCCGCATGGCGGCGGAGATTAGGTTGCGTTATATCCAACTTGCCTTCCAAGTTATAATGGTCTGTTCTCCTCTCCATGGTTCAGTGGCGCAATCTGCTAAGGACTATGAGTTTGATCCTCCGCAGGCGACCGAGGGAATACACAACACTGACGAGATTGAATAGGGTGAAGCCATCGGCTGGTGCTGTTCCGGACTGGAATTAGACTATATGGCTTATGAGCAGCTGAGATGAAAAAGTACAATTTCATCAAATAACGTATAGCCAATTTGCACAGCAAAATACGAGGCGTTGCACACATACCTGATTGGATCGATTGTATTTACATCCGAAATTTAATCAAAATTTGTGCAGTTCCGATTCGCAGAATGCGATCTACCTACACAGACTGGGGTCGCAAGCGGCGCCCATGTGAATCCAGCGCAGCATATCCTTTATTGTTTGGAGACTGTTGCAGCTAAAATGCTGCAGAACTTGGCTCAAGTCAGCTTAGAAAATGCAACCTATGGCTTGTTTGGAAAATGTGCTACCTACGCATTGTGGCGGATTGAGAAAGGGAATTAATTCTAGCTGGTAGACTTCCATTGTTCCTTGTGGCTATTTGAAACCGGTCTTAAGCATACTGGACTTCTGATCATAGCACACGGTATACGGTGGATAGAACGAGGATATTGTTTTTTTCAGGTTTGATCTTGGCTGATCAGAGCACTGTGTGGCTAATTCTCACTTGTGGAAACACATCTGAGGTTGCACTAAAGAATATGTTGGACTTGAACTGCTTACATCAGTTGGTCATGTTTTTCGATTGAATAGCTATTGCTCACGTCGGTGTGATCACGACGACCATGGTGTCTGGCTGCTTAACGCCAACGAGAGATTTGGCGCTGACGAATTAAAAGGCATGAGAAAATCAACGGAACTGTTGGTTGGATTAATTTGTACCGTGGTTAAACCTCTGATCCGATTAAATGTGGTCATAGAATACGTCGTGAATCACTCTCGGTATCTCAATCCTCAATTATGATTTTTCGCCTCTCCATCTCTAATGTGTGTTTCTGCTTACACATACGCACACAACGCTTCCGTCTTTTTTCTTGGCCATTGTTATGTTTTTTTATAATTGATATATGAAGTAAGGTAACTGAGCGTGCATGCACCATGGCTGGATATCAGGAATCAACTGAACTGGTCTGCGCATTAGACATATGACTCGCCAAAGTGTTGTTTCTACAATCGCCGTAAATTGTACAACCTAAAGGAATGGGATATATTTTAGGTGTTGCTCACCCCAAACCCTAAACCCCACGATCAGTTTCACATCTGTCTGCGTTCGTCAGGTAGAGATAGACGAACTAGAAGTGGAAATTTGGCAAAGTTTGCTGTTGGAGATCTTTGCATTTAAGCCGCTGAACCGCACCTAATGCATCATAACGATTCATGATTCTTTGTTGATTCATGTAAAGCACTCTGTATAGGGATGATCTGCGGCACACCATCTAATTTGGTATCAAGTCAAGGCAGGCAAAGCTATATGTACTAAGATAGGTGCAATTTCAACATTTTACACCGTCAACTACAGATGAAATAAAACAGCATCCTTAGATATGTGAGATTTCACTAACAAACAAAACAAAGTCATTCGAACAAATAGTTTTGCAGCTTTGAGCAAAGATCGCATATTCTTAAAAAGAATTATCCGGATTTTTGTCCGGTTGACACGGCGGTTTTTCTAAAACATTTATTGACACTTGATTTTATCATATCATAAGTGATCGATTACGAAACGTGCCCATTATCTCGACACATTATTTCACTTTAAGTTGTAATTCGTTTGTCATGGTCCCTAGACCTATCCTCACGATGAGAAATGCAAATGGATTGATGTGGTCTAGAAGCTAGGCTTCTTCCTGTTGTAGTACTTAATCGAACGCCAGTGAAGTATTCCGTTCAGATGGGCTGGATGAATCACGCAAGCAAACAAGTACAAAATCTTGTCGTGAAGTGCAGTCTTGCAAGTCAGCAGCAGCATCCAAAACATTTGTTTAGTTTACGTACAAATGATGGCTCTAGTTACTTTCCACTCTTTCTTATGGTCTCGGGAAACCAATCTACCTTCAACCAGCGGGCAGAACTAGTTCCTGTCAACTATAACACAAGCCATTCAACGAAAAACTCAGGTACGCTTCATAAAAACTGAAAGCAAATGTGTGTACAGAAGTCTGTGCTGCAAGAAGACCGTCCAGAATACGGGCATGTAATACAAACGATTGGGATAGAATTATATTTTCTATGACAGACAACTTGCTCATTGAAATAGATTCTAACGCATTTGTTGCTTCTGCTTGAACTGTACATCGTTGTAGGATTTCGATCTTGTCCCGCAAATTCGAGCTGACTTATTGAAAGAGCGGGCGGCGAAGATAGAATTGGTGTACCGAGACACTGCTTGGATGTCAGAGAAGCACCGTTTGGCATTGGCGAAACTGGAAGATGCGTGAGTTTCTGAGCGTTGATTATCTGTGCTAGTTGCTATTCATTCCGGGCATTCTATCCGCGACCGCCAGGTGATAATCATAGACTTTTATGCACCTATTGGATTGCATTTGGTCTTCTACAGTCTCAAACCTGACTTCCTTCCTGACCTTGCTTAGCCATAGTTTAAGGATATTTTTGAGACGGTTCCGTTTGGCCTATTCCTTAAATGAGGTTCCATTTTATCGTTTAATGGAAGACAAATCACTTATACACAGTGTCCTATTATCCATTCCTACAAATCTATTTTTGATAATGTAAGTTTAGCTCATCCGTTGTCGATACTGTAAAGTGCTGAAAATGTACCCCCTTCGGATACATAGAGCTTTAATTGACTTGCCTTGATTTGATCTTTTTCCAAAGCAACAGAACATCATTACTCGTGAAGTGTCCAGGAGACAGAGATAGGGATTAACTCGGCATCCTTTCAGACAACTCTCTACTAACCTACACGCTATTTCAGACTCCATCATAGGCTTTCCCTGCATACAACCGGTCATGAAAATTGTAGACGTTGTACCAAAGCTACTGGAATCACGGTCAATTTTAGCATAAATGTCTTGCCTACACCTGACGCAATGATACTTCCATTTTGCTTGATCCTGATGCATCCGTCGGATCCTTCCAGTCGCAGTAACCTTTGTAAAATCGCTCGGTGACCCCGTTTTTTCCTACTCACGAGTTCCTGCTTTTACCATTAGCGTTTAAGTGTGTGATGGACCAAAGACGATGATCACATTCCTCGTTTGTGTTACAATCTGAATGTAGAAGTGGGTTTGGAGCGGTCGTTTGGGTTTTCCTAACTTTAGCCACACCATCTGCCCCTTAAGTAACTCAGATAACTGTGAATTTATCATACCTAACTATTGGCTTAAACGAATGAAAACATCCGTTGTGGAGTCTAGCATAGCGACTACCCTAACAGCCGTCATTACACCCGGAGAAACACCGTAGAATGCGAGTGACCTTCAGATTCATCATAACCTGGAGTGTCTGGTGCAGCAATATATATTAACTCCATCTCCTGAACCAAGTGACCCTCAAGAAACACGAACTGCAGATGACCTCATGAGGATCGGCCAACTTTCAGACCTTCTGTCTACACCTTCGACCAAACATTTAACACATAAGGCACTCTTTTATTTTTATGCTAATGCACAAGACCTTGTAAGCAAACTTGTGGACCTCCCGCTGCACCAGACATCAATGTCGTGAGACCTCATCATATAACCAAGATATGGTTGAGTGAAGTGACCATTGACGCCAAAGTCGTACTAACTTAGATGTTTGTTCTGCGAGACGACGGACCGAATAGAGGAGGTGGTGTACTACTCTATTACTGCAGTGAGCCACATCTTGATCTAACTGTTGATCCGGAAGTCCGGTTTGTCCATGCGGTTTGATGCCGTCTTCACAACAAATAGTGACGCATGTTTAGTGGGTATCATTTACCGCCCTCCGTCGTCTACTTCAATCGTCTAGCATTTACTCTGAAGACTGTCCTTTCACAGTCGCACAGTCACGTTCTCCTGATTAGTGAATTTAACGTGCACACCCTAGAAACCCCATCCTGTCTCAATGATTTTAAAATAAAATAAGACGAGCTATCGGCGGATTATCACTTTGCAACTGCAGTTCTTTAACAACAGAAGTCGTGATAGAGAACGAACCACGTTACCTGGATCTCGTGTTCACCAACGAGGGGTTTATGACCGAATGGGTATCGATAGAAATTCTATTGGGCTGCAGCGATAATGCAATATTGTCGTCTAGAAACATTGTTATGCAGTAGTAGCTCAGAACGATTACAGCATTCTGTCTAAATTCACTGATGCTACCAACTGGGTATTTCTAGCTAATTAGTTTTTGTTATTAAACTCAATAAGCTAATATTGAGTGCTTCGAAGAACAGGCCATATATGAGCAACAGCAGTCGAAAGTATGTGATCGCAAGAGATGCACTCTGGCGAAAATGCAGTCACCGGGTGCCGAGACATGGGAAGCCTCAAGTATCCAACGGAATCACAACGTGAACACTGTACGCGAGGAGAAACCAAAGCATCAACATGATCTAGTCGTGAAATTCTGCTCAAACCCACAGCTCCTTTACATACACGTTACCAAACTTGATGAAATATAGCCTGGGATTCATGGCATAGGCACATCATATGGACAAGCGCAGATTGCGACAGGAGCGGCTCTTTCAGCTTCATCAATTATTCACAAACATTCGGAGCACGACTTTGTCACCTTTGCTGTTCAGATAAGTTATGCCACTACTAGAACTTACCAGTATCTCCTTTAGGACAGCGGATGTTCTGAAGTGGCTGACTTCCTTACGTAAGCACACCTATTCTGGGGCTGATAGTATCCTCCCAGAAGCGTTGAAGTCGGATGTCATAAAGTTAGCCGAAGTGCTTTCTCGCTTCTTCTAACCATGTCTTGATGAGATGCTGGTTTTGCCAGTGTGGAAGCACGCAATTGTCAATCGCATTCAAAAGAAAAAAGTGGTGCAGATCCTGTGTTACGAAGAGAATGCCTACAGTCAACGATCAAGCCGAGAGCAGTGGCGCAACAGTGGATCTAGCTACAATTAGAGATCGAATTCGAGTAGAGATCAACACGTGGATCTAGGTGGGATCAGCGGCAACTTCGACCATGAACTCGAACCGATTGAGTTGTGGTAATTAATATTAATTACCATCTTACTATTATTAATGTTATTACTTGCCTACAACTTATTCCTTGCGCCATGCTCCTGTACAATAGAACCGGAATCGGAATCCCTCGGTCCGGCTGTTTTCTTGGCGTTCTCACTTCGTTGTGGTTAAACCGGTTGGGGCGGCACAGAAGATTTCAGGCAGGTTATTTGTACTGTCAGCGGCAACCACAACATCCTGCCGATAACACCCCAATAACACTCTTTCCAGTGGTCTCCAAACTAGGGGGGACTATTAAACTTGAAGCGCTTATGGGTCTCTTGGAAAGGGGCAGCTTCATAGCACCGGAAGAACGCAAATTCATCCAAAACCGGTCTTGCACTACAAGCCTGCTATTTGCTCGCTACAATCGGACCTAAATGTCGACAGCGGTGTGGAATCTGGCGCAGTTTATCTGGAATTATACACTCGATCGTTTGGACCACAGCATCCTCCTTCATAAACTTCAGAGCTGTGGAATTTATTACCCTGTTATCGATTGGTTGGGCAACTTCCTACTTCATCGATATCTGAATCTGATGGTTCGAAGTACCCTCTGACCCCGCCGAAGTTCAGTGGGGAGTGCCCCACGGCTCAGTACTTGGTCCACGAGTATTCCTGTTTTACACAAACCAGCACGTGAAAGTGATTACCTCCAATTTCTTCCTCTTCGTTGAAGGTTACGAGATATGACAGGCTATCGAAACAACAAGTAACCACGTAGCACTGCAGGATGATCGTGAAAAGGCATACGAGTGGGCGACTCCGTATCTGCTTCATTTTAAACCTCACCAATTGTAAGATACTGATTTTTCTCGGTCAATCCACTTGCGAGTACGGGCTGGATGATCAAGTTTTGCAGAGCGCTTCTATTGAATGTGACCTAGGTCTTATGGTACAGGACGATGTCGGTTGTCCACCTCAAGCCGAAAAAGCATCAAAAAAGCCAACCAGCAACTTGGTCTATTGCAGTGGGCATTCGGACACTTGGACCCTTCCATCTTCCGGCAAATACTCAACGCTTACAGTAGGCTCCACTCGGAATACGCCATCCACCGCTGACAACCGTGTCATAAGCACGAACTTGCTTCCCTTGAAGTACCACGGCGAAGGGCGACCAAGAAAGTAAATGATCTGTGTCATCTCCCTTACTAACTGAGGCTGTGAAAGCTTGGGGCAAACAGCGGAAAGTTTTGACGTCATGATGACGATTTAATAATGCGATATCAGATCCTGAGGAATCGAAAACATGCTTGTTGTCATCTTCTAAAACTGAATAACAATACCGCTCTGGAAGGTCACCAGCTAACATTGGCAACGCAGTATAGTCGTTTGGAATTCCCCCGGAATTTCTATCCATTTCGTGTGTGCCGGTTTTGGAACGCCTTTCTTACTTATGTTGTTTCTTCCTACACACTAACAGCGTTCAAAAGATGTCTAGATGATACACTCATACATTTGCATTACAACATACATTCCTTTATGACTAAGTGTTACCGTACAGCCAAGAATAAATCATCTCAGTTTAATATCCCGCATCACATTACCTAAACGCTGCTGCTGTGGGATATGGTTGCTATGTACTTAACCTTGCTTTAGTTATTCCGTCGACGCAAGTAAGCGGTACATAAGGGGGTGTTTTCCTTTTTATGTTTCTCACAGAATATGTTAACTATAAGTGCCCCCATATTGTTTTCGGTGCGCACATTTAATTCACATGTTATACTCTCGTTTTGCAGCAGCACATCTAAATCGGCGGACACCAAATGGCGAATTACATGTTTTGCTTTGTTACATTTCACTCCAACCATCCTAGGGGACCTGTCAAGCACTTGTTTTCTTACTCATGATAAATCATTGTTCATTGTGCTGCTGCTGCTGCTGCTGCTGCTGCTGCTGCTGCTGCTGCTGCTGCTGTTGCTGTTGCTGCTGCTGCTGCTGCTGCTGCTGCTGCTGCTGCTGCTGCTGCTGCTGCTGCTGCTGCTGCTGCTGCTGCTGCTGCTGCTGCTGCTGCTGCTGCTGCTGCTGCTGCTGCTGCTGCTGCTGCTGCTGCTGCTGCTGCTGCTGCTGCTGCTGCTGCTGCTGCTGCTGCTGCTGCTGCTGCTGCTGCTGCTGCTGCTGCTGCTGCTGCTGCTGCTGCTGCTGCTGCTGCTGCTGCTGCTGCTGCTGCTGCTGCTGCTGCTGCTGCTGCTGCTGCTGCTGCTGCTGCTGCTGCTGCTGCTGCTGCTGCTGCTACAAAGCTGGTACCGGTGTTAGATTATGCGTGCACTGACTATTAAAGACATAAATGTTCAAATAGTCACTTCACAACTGTATAGGCATGATCAGAGTAACATGACTACGAATGATTTAAATATGTACAGAAATGTCACCATTTTGCCAGTAACCCATTCATGTTAAACGTGTATCTATGTACGCATGTTCGCATGTAGGTAAATGTGTATGTGTGCCTCACGCTGTGGCTGGTCGACCAGTGGCCGAAAGGATTGCACGCCTGGCTCGCAATGCTTAGGTCATCAGTTCGAATCCGCGTAAGGGCAGGCGTTCTAGCGGTATACTCAGTCCACGCGCGACCGTTGGTGGTTGCGTGGCAACGAAGCGTCAGTACAGTGTGCCGACGTGCAGCTGATAATTTTTCATATGATGTGGTTTATGTTGCACGCATTATGCTTCTTCACTGCAGTTGGGCTACACCGATTTACCTAAGACTTAAACTAGATCTACCTAACCTGGACAAAAACTATTCCAATTTATTTGCTTCGCGCAATCCTGGTAATCTGCTGCATATTCCGTGTTAATTTTCCTTATCTATTTTCTTCCAAATCCTCTGTCAGTTGTTTGATATCTCCAGTACTTGAGGTGAATATTGACAAGATTCTTACATGTCAAAAACCCCCAGCCTCGATTAGGTTGGCTTCAGGAGATAGTTGTTCGTTGCTTGGCGAAACAGGGTGCACGGTCATCGTGGTTCCATCCAGTGTAGAGCGACCTACTCCCCACCACCGCATGGTGTACATCTGGTATTATTTACCCTTATACAATTTTGTATAGTAACTTTTTTTGATGCACAGTAGCCAGCTTGTAGCTTACCCGAACGATGCCCATCCGTTACCGGTAACTCAGCCGGCTTGCACCAGTTGCATTTTTTCTCCTTTATTTTCTATAGTGCGGCACAGTATCTGAGGTGTTTCCCACCTCTAGTTAACCTGTATGATGATGGTGATGATGGTGATGTACATCTGGTACGTGTGATTCCCCACATAGATAGACAAGAATGCTACTGCAGTGCATGTTGAAGGAGTTGGGCCGGCTCCGTTACTGAAACGTGGTTCCCATCTACATGCCTGCCGGTCTTATTTCTTCAGATTTACACTGAATATGGGATGTGTTGATGGAGCTGTGGGTAGTGCAGCGCAAACCACCCATGTTCACTGAGTAGGCGCAAGCGTCCTGTAGCTGTTTTATGGAGGTCACAATGACAAGCATATCTCGAAACAGGTGTCGCAAAACTTGTACGCATGTATTTAGCGGTGTTACTTGAATCGGTAAGTGTGCCGCTGCATTTGTGATTTTGTTCGGTCATGTCGCCAGTGTTGGAAGGTATCGAAGGAAATATCTATGGTGGATGACTGATGTCTGTGGGTTGGCTAAGATCATCCGGATAAACACAGAGCCGTGAGCTTGTTTAGTTGTGAGCCACATCCACTATGTCTCACTGTTGTTAAACAGAGATCTGTGGCTTTTTATAGGGAGGACGCTTGCCATGCGGAAACCCACAGCATCCTGTAGCATTGCTGCTGAACTAATTGCTTGATCGGGATAAATCAGAATCATCTAGCTGTTACTACGTGGGGGTTGTTCTACGAGCCAGATCTCAATTTTATAATATCCGTTTTTTTACCTCGTCTATTAGTTGGTCTGTGATTGCCAGCAGCATTGGACTGCGTTTCTACTAGAACCTATGTCACGATAACAACGTCAGGAGCTGATCAATTCATGACTACTGAAAGAAGTATCCTGCAGTGCATGGATATTTCTTGTCAGTTGATCAAAGAGGGATTCTGTTGATGGACCTGTTAGACCTGCCACTTTGTTTCAACCACAGTGTTCTAAAGTCCGAACTTTCCTGTTTGATTTGAAATCGATAATTCCAGAAGGAGTCATTCGTCCCTGTGCATCGCTCACTGCTTCCTTGACCGAACATACCTATTTGGTTCCTTCCAATTGTCTGATCCTTACGGTATTTAACAAGCGACTTACCTTTATCCAGAATTCAGTCAATTGAAATCCCTGAACACTTCACTTAAGATCACAATCGGGACTCTTGTTCTGCTTAAATTGCATCCACCGACAGGTTTCAGAAGCCACTGGACTTCGATCGTATCACTGTGAGGGCCTTCACCACAGCACATTCTGTCAGCTCTATTCGTACCAACCAACTTAATGACGAACACATGTACGCAAAGGCTGTCCTTGAAATGGAGAAGATGGAAAGAATGACTAAGGCCGTCAAACAGAAGAAGAAAGTTTCAGACCAAGGTACCCCACCAAACATTTGCTATGATATTCGCTGGCCACCTTCGGTGAGGGCGTTTCACGACATTTCTGACTTCCGTACGTATGGTTACTTGGGGCTGACTAACCGCTACTTCCTATGAACGCGTCCCAAGGATAATTCGCAGGCTGTGATGTCAACGTCAAATTCACTTTATGCTGTGGACTTAAATTATGTGTTGTAAATATCTAGATGTAAACGTAAGCGTACCAGGAAATTGAGTAGCGCAATTTAATCATCTACGATAGCTTTGGTTCATACAATGGTTTCAGAGGAAGGAGACACTGTGGTAACATCAGCCATATAAATTGTCAACACTAATTTACACTATGCTGCCAAGTTGCTACCAAGTTGCGCCGGTTTGCATTCACATTTGTCAGGGCGATACGAATAGCCAACCCAAACTGCTGACGACACTAGTAGGGGCTGTATGAAATCATGCGCACGAGTGCACTTGCTCCAAACTATTCACGTCATCGACTCGGCTTATTTGTGGTAGTGGAACATCTTATCACAGGCATAAAAATGTGCAGTCTGGCAGTTATTCAGGTGTATAAAGTGCATTCTCCGCTCATGTCTCCTTCTGGACACCTTAGTGGTATCCAAATTGACATAGATCTCTTAAGGCTAAATGGCAGCCTTGTACAGATAAAATGTTTCTGTGACCTAAGTATACACCCGTAATGCCCAGCTATAGGCAGTTTGTAGGGAAACCTCACTACAAATGCGGCTTCAAGCACTGTGTTTCTTGACCTACTTTCTTCTATTAAATACCTCAGACACTGCCAGCCAGGCTTGGAAAGCGCCCCCAGATAGAGGAATAGATGGGTTATGGTTATCAGTCGATTTCCGAAAAGGGTGTTCATCCATCCCTCTTGTTTCTACACTTCCCCATGATGGTCATAACTTTCATTCGGCTGTCATAGCTAAACAACATTTGAAATACTGCTGTGCATTGGTAAAACGAGATAACAAGTCGCATCCTGGCCCCCAATTGTGTTCTTTCGAATATACCCATATTCATCAACAATAACAGTCTTATATCGGTTAGTTAACCTGGTACTTTACTTCCATACATGCACAATGTCCTAGAGAATGGAGAAGAGTAACAAGGAAGGATGAGAAACTAGTGTAGAATCTAAATACTCCAAAAAAGCACACAATATCAACATGCATACAGTTTGTTCACGACGTACTTCCAAATACAGTTGTCTATCTCGCGAGGATAAGGCGGCATCAACGAGACAGTTTTTCTGTGGTTTTGACTGCTCCATGGCATAATCAAACATTACTTCGCAGTTAACACGGCAATAAACTTTAAACTGGCAGTCCGACTGGGCGACGACAGCAGACACGTCACTGGTGCCGACTACGAATCATGCCCTGTGATGTCTGGAGCCAAACGCAGCGGATCACAAAGTCTTTAGTCTAAAATGCGAAGTCCACCAATAGCACCAACTTTTGAAGTCAAAGGCTTCATTTACCGTTGTCTAGTTAACTTTTGTGCACCTCAAGTCTTGCGCCATCTTACGTCTGCCAATCAAACAGGGCCCTCCTCAGTAAACGGTGAGCGGTCATACGTATCACGTGCTCAAGCCAACGGAGCATATTTAATGTTACCTATTGCTTCAGAAAAGTAGTGTGGTTATCACCGCCTAGTATTCCACCTACGCACATCATTTTCGCGGACAAGCTGATGCCATCTGACACCAGCAATATTTCGTACGCTACAATGATCAAAGACTAGACTAGATACCCAGACCGAAGCGTCCGAGTCTCACAGCAATAGAGTAAGACAACCTTCAGAACTAGGGAAACTCCGTTCTGGAACCACAGATATCACAGGTTCCGGAAGAAAATGCTAGCTGTTAAAGTTCGTGAAATGACTTCGAATGTTGTGCACCTATCGCTACTAGTACATTTCCAAATTACGTGAACTAACTATATCGTATTACTCGCTATCAAGGATCGAGGGATCATCAAGCGGCTGGTGTTCCTACAGCAACAATTTAAGCTTTAAGAGTGCGAAGCGCATGCTAAATAATGGAACAACTGTCAACCTAGCTAGGTCACTCAGTGTTGACTGGGCCACACCAAGATCGCTTAACAACAAGTTAATGTCATCTATCACTGATATCATTTGAGGAGGCGAGGCCAAGCGATGATTTGGTCGAGAGGATTGGAGTCCCTCAGTTCGAACTTAGCGTCGGTTGGTGTTAACAGACTGTCTGGTTTGAAACCGAAGGATGCTGAACACGTATGGTTGTATACACTAGCTGACATGGCGAACAGTCGACCTCAGTGACGTTTGTGTTGTGAGTCTTTGTCCTCCCCATTCCTTTATCTTCCCGCCCCAGCAAACATAAAAAATCTGATACTATTAGTATGTTGCTTTGTATAACTTTCAAGTTTACATTGCTTGATGTCTTACTTTTGTATTGCAATAAATTAACTGAGGTATGTTTCCCACTCTCGGCTAACGTGGATTGTTGATAATGTTGATGATGAATGTCATCTGTGTGATCAAGCTCAACTAGCTTTTCACCACACAACACCTCAAAGTCTGCATCAAGAGGTTCCGCAAAGGAGCATACTATGACAGAGCCCACGGTGGTATTGAACACAAATGAGGAAATTGCGCAATGCTGGTGGAACACAATTGTTGTCAGAAAGACATTCGGTTAGTCACAGTAGACCATGACGCAGTAATAGTCACCAAGTACAAGCTAGGTGAACTTTTCCCAAGATTCCAGAGTACATCTTTCCTTGCAGTTGCGCTAAACAGATTGGATCGGTCCATCGAGTCAAACGAATTCTTCTAGTCCAAAAACAAAACATTGTCTGTCTGTAGCACGTGTAGTACTGCTCTAATACATGCTACAGAAAACTAACTACTAGATGGAAGCAGCAAGGTGTATATATGTAGCTGCATCTAGAATCCATCAATTACAATTATCTGTTATGTTGTAGAGCATTCCGAGACCTCAGGTCCGCAAAGGATTTGTCCCAGTATTTTTTGAATTCCGACACCGACTTTTCCTCGGCAATGTACGGCGGCAAGCTGTTCCATATATTCACCACTCTCCATTCCAAACAGTTGGAGAGCGGCCCACTTAAAATCCGGTACTACAACCTACTACCGGTGTCTTCGTGTGTTGCTTGGCATACACGTATGCAGCAGCGACCTCAACCTGTGGTAAGCACCAAGATGTAATAGCCGGTGCGCCATTATTAGGTCAACCCGCAACCGACGATAAGACAGGGTGTAAAGCCCTAATCTTTTGCTTTGGGCTTCGTACGGCACATCTCGTAATATGGGGATGAGCCTGGTAACCTCATGCTGCACCCGATCAATCTTTTTTTTACAGTATCTGAGTGAGCCGTACTCTAGTTTTGGTCGTAGTATTGAGACGAACAGACGAGTGGCAAACTCTTCGGACCAAGTGCTGAAACTGCAATTGGGTGCCCAAAGCACACGAAGCCGTTCTGCAAATGCCTATTCTTCTTGTCCTTGGACTTTAGGTTGCAGCATGAGAGTCCACCAAGGTCTCGTACGAAAGACGTGGGATGCAACGGTTCATCTTCCACAATGTAGGTCCAACAGTCTCCACCCTTACATCATGAACCGCGACTTGCCCTGATTCATCGGATAATTGACCTCTTTAGACCATATGGAGAGGCGGTCAAGTTCACGCTGAAGCGAGTCACAATCATTAAGTCTTTTGATTACTGTCCACACCAAGTCATCTGCAGGCAGTGCAAATAGTGTAAGAAGAAGCTCAGGCATATCGTTTATACGGATCATGAATAAAATAGGGTACGCAACTGGTCGAAGGATACCATGCGGTCAGATACTTGTCGAATTGGACTCTCCACTTTCGACCTAGGAGGAAATTCTTGATCCATTGTGCAGCGAGCCACCAACTCCGCACGGCTTCAGCTAGTGGATGAAGACCTCATGATTCACATTGTCCAGTGCCTTACTGAGGTCAGTGTAGCTGATGTCAACCGACTTCCCCTAGTTCAGCACTTGCAATCATTCGCGCCCCGTCCAGAGCAGGTTTGCGATGCATGAGTTACCTTTCAGGAAAGCATGCTCTGCGGGTGTCAAGAGGCTTTTCTACCCCAGAACCTACAGAAGAGCCTTTTTGAAAATCTTCCCAGGTATCTCAGCCAAAACAGCGGTCAGGCTGGTACTCCGGTAGTTGTCCACCTTACTTTTGTTGCCACCTTTCCGTGACGGTTTTGCGACTAAGTATTTCCATTCATCCAGTAATGAACCACTGGGTTGCGAATTTTTGAATAGCTCAGTCACAGAAGTCGAAGGGGTGGGCGATACTGACTTGAGATTCTGTTGGTGGATCCCATCAGACCTGGCAGGTTTCGTCCAGTCAAGACTGGTCAGCAGTTTGCAGACATCTCCAATGCTGCAATCCAAACTGTCTACTTCGGTAGCTGCCACCCGTCGAAACTCGGTACAGACACCTGGTCACTTGCAAGTGCGAAAGCGAAGGGCGTCGCCAATGCGGACCCACGATCTGTGCTCGAGGTTAGGGGCTGTTCATCTGAGCCCTCCAAAACTAGCATATTTCTGCACTTTTCAGACACTGCCTCACCTAGGTAAGGATCCTCTTAGGATCCGTTTTTGCTGCGGTTGCAAGCTGTTCTTCGAAATTTCAGCTCTTTTACGTTGCAGAGATCCGCTTCCTCGGAATCTTCGACAGAGTCAGACAACACGATTTTATTACATAATCTGCATCGCCTTCGATCCAATGCGACTTGACCGGTCCAACTTTTCTATACTTGCGGGGTACAAATTGGGCGCACACCGATTTTACTCCCACTTTAATAATTGAGCAACAGTCTTCGACAGATGAATCTTTTGATAATGACCAACTCATCTGGCTCGCAGCTCGAGTGAGGCTATTAAGGTCCGTCTCTCTGTACTTGAAAGCTTTCTCCAACGGAGGAAAATACAGCAGCC